ACACTTCTCACCGGAGCTTACTCTACCGCTACGCCTAAATCATCCGCCAGAACATCGTTCTGTTGTGAACGTGCGTACGACAGTTAGTGGAAGCTATTACTTATGAAGTTTTAAATATGGATATTTTTCTTACAAAATCGCATTGATTCGCTTCAGGAGGCCTTTATTCGCCCCCCGAAACCGTGTGGGACACTTTTTATGATGGACGGATGCACTTTATTGGACTTCTTTTGGACTATTGAAAATAACACCCATTCACTGCCATTATAAAACTTGGAAGAGCCAGGGCATTTTTTTATATAACTCTGATTGGATTGGAAAGTCATATACACATAGAATGCCTTGAGGGTGAGTAAATCATGGGGTAATTTTCATTTTTGGGTGAACCATCCCTTTAAGGTCCATTATGGACACTTTAGGTACAAATGTGTACTTTTTGAAAAGGTACCACCCCAGCGACAGCTTTCGTACCTTTATTTCTGAGAGTGTGGTTCAGAAACCAAAAAACATTGTGTGAACACAATCCAGTTGGTGCAGGGGGAGGGAGGATCAACTGAACTCAGGTTAGGGCCAGGCAATCAAATCAAGTGTGAAAACACCCTAAAATGAACTGCTCGGTTAGTGCAGTTCATTTAAATAAGTGTAATAAAACTTACAAAAGAAACATTTGCACAGATTAATTTTTCACAATAAAATCTATGACATGGATTTAGAGAATAGATATGGTGAATTTTTATTTCATGCCGGCTTTAAACACCTTATATAAGTCTAAAGAAACTGAAAAAATTGTTCAAATGCAGTGTGAACTAATATATGCAAGCTGAGTTACAACTGGTTTACTGGTTTGCAACAAGGAATGTTGTTGCACATTAAATCTTTTTTAGAAAGCACCCAAACCTAAATTTCCCTTATAAAAAGGAGTTGCCTATATTAAGTTTCTGCAGCGAGCCTGTCTTGGCAAGGCAGCTCTCAAAGACAGTGGCATCCCATTTTTAGCTGGCTCCTAGAGCAGGAGTTTTCCAGCTAGGAAAAGTAAAAGAAGGGGAACATCTGTATCCTGGCCCTCTCTCACTCTCTCTGTGGGCTCATTCCAGTCAGACACGTCCTGGGAGGTCTGCCAGCCCTTAACCTTTTATGGACCTGAAGCATCATCCACTTCTTAGCCCAAACTCAGCTCTGACCTATTTCCACATCTGTGCTTTCATTACAGACAGATGTCGCAGTCCTGACAGCAGACTAGTGACCCTAATAATATCCCAGAATATCTTTATTAAATGTAGTATCATGTAGAGCTGTGTTCGATACATCGATACGACGATGTATCGTCACAGGCATTTGACGATAGGAGTATCGATACAGCTGTCCCTGTATCGATATTGTGGCACGTGTGCAGCAGTGGACCGCGCTTAATTTGAATACAAGAACAACGTTTAAAATTAAGCAGAAAAGTGCAGGTTTCTAAAAAACATAATGTATAGAGCATAATATATAGGCTATAACAAGGTTTAATCTGGCCGCAGAGGAACACAACTGGGATGCCTGATATAAAGACACGTAATTCCCAAAACAGAGCCTCCCACTTGCGCAATACGGAAATATCTGCTAAGTGTGTTACTTATCTTTATCAACCTGGCAACCATGTGCACGCGCGCGCTCTCTCCACTGTGGATAAAAGCGCTTCCTTTCTGAAAACACCGGTTTTAGTTTTAGCTTGCAGTTTAGCAGTGGTGGAAAGAGTGCTGAAAAAATATACTCAAGTACCATTACCTTCCAAAAAATGTAGTGTGAGTAGAGTAAAAGTACTTGCCAAAAAGTTGAGTTATGTTCTGTATGCTAAATATGAATATATAAACAAGCGTATGTGCACAGTACCTATAACTGTGCTTTGCATCTGCTGATTGCTGTTCGAGATTGACATGCTAAATGGCCGACTGACCAGGTACACTCTCATTCATTTCGTTCACGAACGAGATATGTACCAGTGCAGTCATTTCATTAACAAACGAGATGTAGCAGTTCATTCAACTCGTTCACGAACGACATGTACCAGTTCGGTCATTTCGTTCATGAACGAGAAGATCTCTCGATCTCGTTCAGACTCAAAAGAAACTCGTTCAGTGAAGGGCGTATTCGTTCACTACATTCAACAAATCACATGCTTCGTCACATCTCAAACTCGAAGGCTATTGGCTCGAGGTTTAGTCATTCTTTGACAGGATGAAACATTCTTTGACGAGAGCTACCCGGTTCACTGATCTGCGCATGCGCTGCCAATAGCGCCACGCTGCTCTGGAGGGGGGAATTTAAGTGAACGAGAAATATGAGTCAATGGATTATGTGAACGAGAACGATTTGCTCACCTAAAAAATTCGTTCAAAAAGAACGATTCGTTCACAAACGAAACATCACTAGTAGGAATTTACCGAACGTGGCACTTGCGGGAGTTAACACTGTACGCAATACCCTCAATCTCACACCAAATTTCAGACCGTGTAGATAGGCAAGCATATATACAAATAATTTAGTAAGCAGAAATCCAAAATTCACCTTAACATATTAGAGGAAGATGCGACTGAATTGATGTTTGAAGAATGCACTTCCGGCAGCCATGATAAACAGCAGTTGGCGGTTAAAGTTTTCTATGCACAATTTGATTTGACGGTCATGATACTATCATGGCAGAGCAACAATTTGAAGAGAATCTTGCTGAACAGGTTTCCTAAAGTCAATATGTTTATAGCAACTTACCTGAATAATAACAAATCCAGTTTAACGGCACACACATTTAACTCTATCGATTCCTTAAGTATTGAGATTTGTTAGGGCTACTGGTACATTCAAGACCTGCTGGGAAGTTCGTATTTATGAGTTGGGAAGTTTTAAGTCTACACAACACATTTAAGTCTACTTATACAAAAATTATGAACAAAGATGTGCATCTGTGTGTTTTTGTTTGTTATATTTTTGATCAATTTATGAACGTGTTGAATCAATATATAAACTGTAATTGTACAACACTACTATTACTACTATGTCTACTATTTTGTAGATGCAACTTAGTTTTATTGTAAATGGGGAAAAATTATGTAATTTTAACAAATACAGATACAGATATACAGATACATTCAACTTGTTTTCTCACTGACACACCTCCAACTCGGAAACTCTAGGTTTAACTCTAGAGTTTCCCATTAAAAATTATGACTTTGTGGTAGTGTTCATGTGCATTCAACTCGTAAATTCAATATTTCCAACATGACTTGAACACACCATATGCACATCATGTATACAACACTGGCTTGCGTAAAGTAAGTTTCTGGCTTTGCGTTCAAATGTCTGAGCCATTAAACAAGACGTGTCATTAGGTAATTGAAAAATAAATAGTTTTAACAAACTTGCTTAGCAAGATTCTCCTCTTTTTTTCATACAAACTGTTCAGACTAATGGTATTTGATTTGAAAGAGAAAACTTACCATAAAAGAACATTGTTTACAATAATACACTATTGCGCCCCCTGCGGCAATACTTAGAATGCACTTACATTACGCTAAGAATTGTGGTCTGATATTTCGTACATGATGTACTTGCATATATCAGGTCTAAAAACATTGTCTGGCAAATAAAAAAAAAACGAGTATAATTGCACATAATTCTACTGATTCCCGCAGTTTCCGTGCTTGTATGTGGGAAATTCCCGCAAATATTTCAACATGAAAGACGCTCGCGACAGGAATGTATCATTTGCACGTGCTTTTGAGTCTTACAGTTTTAAACATTCAAGTGCTCAATTCAGTACTTGCGCGCTCTGTGACTGCGAGACCCTTTCTTTGAGCCGCCTCACACCCAAAGCGCACGCACATAGAGATGCATCTGAGAGCGCGCGCCTTTGCGCATAAACGGCCAAATACATACAAAAATATGTCAAAGTGCCCGTCTGGATGAGTATTCATGTAAACAGTCGATTTATACTAAACATTGTCAGTATACAGGCTATTAAGTTAATATAAACAGTTGCGAAACAAAACTTATGTGTAACAGTTTGATCCGTGCATGAGGTCTTAAAGAGACAGCAACCTAAATAAACCTGCTGCTGTCTGTCACTAATGTTTATTTATACATTAAAGACTACTGACTGTTTACTTGTCTTTTTTAGTTCAAAATAAATTCAATTCAGAGTATCTTCCTCACAATATAAATATGAATCAACATTATAAATTGTAAAACACAAATACACTGGATGACGAAACATTTAGGTTGGATGATTGGTTTAAAAATGTGTCTAAAAAAATCCCCTAACTCTCCCCTCAAATTAAAAAAATCCCCCCCCCCCATAAGAGCCACCTAAAAGGGGAATTTAGGGGAGTTCTATATATATATATATATGTGTGTGTGTGTGTGTGTGTGTGTGTGTGTGTGTGTGTGTGTGTGATCTGTGTGTACTCTACAGACATTTTTCATTTTTACGACTTTCTATAAGATTTATATTTAATTACTCAATTCCATGACATGCTCAGGCCTCACAATGACAATTTTACAGTTCGATTATATTTAAGTTACTGGTGTTCCAGGACAGTGAGAACATCCAAAGCTAATATAATACAAAGAGATGTGACTGCCTACACTCCACGCGACTACTAGAATGCTGCTTTTTAAAACCAAGGCTGTCTGGCTGCTCACTGTTTTAGTGTAGACAGCTTGTTGATTATTTAGTTTCTAACCAAGCCTAACCATCATTAAAACTAGCGAAACAGTGAAAACGGTGCGAGCTGCCAGCGCCACATCAGCGAGCATTTAAAGCTATATATAAATAACAAATACACACTCCAAAATAGCACAGACCTAGTTTACTATGGTAGAAAACGCGAATAAGGTACAAAGCTCCTCAGGATCTATTTACTGAGTTAGATTAACTTATTGGCACTAGTTCAGGCCAGCAGCAAGTTAAATCACTTTTAATACTTTCTGTACTGACATTTTAGATACAAGTGAAAATCATTTACCTCTTTTGTGTCAAGTCGCAAGGAAGATCCGTTGAGCAGCTGTCAGTAAGTTCGTTGTCGTGCTACTAGAGACTGAACAAAAAGACTAGCAGCAGTATGAGAAACCCTTTAACCCTTTACCGCCCTGCCTGGCTGAACCAAAGACTGTATAAAAACAGGGCTGAACCAAATATAGACTGTATAAAAACAGGGCTGAACCATAGACTGTATGACACAGGTTACCATGGTGATCATAGTTGCCGCCAAAGTCAGAGCTCTGCAGTGTTGTGCAAGTTACTTCCAAACTGTAATACATTATAGATTACTTGTTACTGTTATTTAAAAGTAACTCCTTACCTTACAATATTACTGTCTCAGAATTGTAATACGTTACATGACTCCTGTATTACTTTTGAGTTACTTTCACCAAAATGGTAACACTTTATTTTAGGGTCTCTTAACTAGTTGCTTATTATTAGCATGCATATTACTAGAATATTAGCCATTTATTAGTAGTAATTAAGCACATGCCTTATTCTACATGACCTTATTCTCTACATCCCTAATCCTACCCAATACCTAAACTTAACAACTACCTTACTAACTATTAATAAGCAGCAAAATTCGTAGTTAACAGTGAATAAGTGTTCCCTATTCTAAAGTGTTACCATACTTAACATTCTAAAATGACTAAATGTACTGCAGAGCATTTTACATCCAGTAGAGGGCGATATGGTGTAGCATAATGACTGTGGGCTATCCAGGCTACTGACAATATAGCTTATAATTGGCCAAGTGAAGGCTCAAGACAATGCAAGAAAGGATGACAGCCAGAATCACAAACGATCCAAGTCTGTTAAAAGTATGGTAGAGGTAAAGTGATTATCTGGCAATATCTGTGAATAGCTTGGGTCTATTCATATTAGACACAACAGGACTAATAGGCTATGTAAACTCGCAGTATGTAAAATGCCATGACAAGATGCGCATATGTCCATCTCGCGCACGTACAGTCTTCTGCCATCTTCACCCATTAGCCACTTTTCCATTGGCCAGTGCGAGCCGGGGCTAATAGCCTCGGACCTCGAGCACGGAGGCCGAAATCATGCCGCGTTCCCACCGTTGGGCCAGTAGCCTCGCGGCACTCCGCCCTAAACACGACTGGACTATGTCACACAATACAAAGTTCCACCAGTGAGAGGGAGATGAATGAAATAAATCGCTAAACAAATATATCAGAAGCTGTCGTTTAGTCTTTATTTACAAACTTGGACACCACACGCGGCTATTGACTGACCACGAACAGGAAATCGAACTTATTTGCGGCATTTTTGATTCGTTAATGTCTCGCGGTCTTGCTGTTTTTTTTTGTTTTTTTTTTCAAAAGTCGCAAGGTTTAGTTTTTGCGCTATTTTTAATTGTTCGTAAAACCTACTTTTTCGTATTCGGTTTGTCTGATTCTCACCAAAATTGGCTCAGATCATCTTCACACCATGCTGGCAAAAAGTTAAGGAATTCAAGTTGATTTGTCCAACCGTTCTCGAATAACGCATGAAGCAAGAGTGTCTTGTCTGCAGACTGCAAATAGAGTGAGTAACTTTACCGATTTTTATTTTATAACCTTAAAACGATGCTAAGTTTACGTAGCCAACCTGAGAACTGCTAAGAAATAATAATGAATTCCCGATTGCTAGTTTTATTGATTATTACGTTGTTCTTAATTCGTGGCCATGATTTAATTAAGCTAAACCTCGTTGACATAATGACTACAATAAGTAAATCTACAGCCTTTCTGTCCATGCAGCAACTGATGGAAAAGGGGGTCTTTTTTTATGATGTTGTATTATGTGTTATTGCAAAAATGAGTATATACAGTATATAAATATGCATTCTTGAATCATTCTCGAGTCTTGTGTCTTGCCTCTCTACAAACTTTTAAATATCTGGCTGTAATTTAGTGACTGCAAATGCTGATTTCATTTGATTCCATCTTTATTATACCTGATAATGAGCTAGTTAAACTTAAGGGGGCTAATCAATATACAGTATATTTCAAGAAACTAAGAGATTCTCACCAAAATTGGCTCAGATCATCTTCAGACCATGCTGGCAAAAAGTTATGGAATTCAAGTTGATTCGTTCCACCGTTCTCGAATAACGCACGAAGGAATTCTACGAAAAGCACGTAAAAATGGATGTGAGGATATATCTCCGCAACGGTTTGGCGTATTGAGACCAAACTTGGTGTGTGTTATAACAAGCATGACCTGAGACTACCTGCAGTGTTTCGGCGCAGTGCCCCCTAGTGGTCAGGAGATATAAAAAAATGCATATTTTTGCTTATAATTTCTGAATGGTTTGGCCAAAAATCACAGAACAGTCTCTTTAGATTCGGTGCATCATGCCGAGTCGAATCATACCAATTTTTTCCATGTCAGCCATTTTGGGCATCGGCCATTTTGAATTTTGTCAAAAAATGCAATATTTTAAGAACGCTTAGACTGTTATTACGAAAATCAGTATCCATCTTCTGCACCATGCCCTGATGGCACTCAAAAAGTTTGGGCGCAGCGCCACCTTGTGGTCAAACGTTATAAAGCAATTTATAAAAATGCTAATAACTTTTGCATCCATTATAATATTGTAATGAGACTGATGTTTATAGATTCCTTGCATCATGCTGAGAACATCGATACCAATTTTGCCATAATTGGCTGAACTTCCTGTCCGCCATTTTGATTCATGTTGAAAACCTACTTTTTCGAACTCCTCCTAGACCGTTAGTCCAATTTTCACCAAATTTGACTCGGATCATCTTCAGACCAAGCTGGCAAAAAGTTATGGATTTCGTATTGATATATACGGTTTTCGTTTAGCGCATCAACTAATTTGCTGGAAAGATGCCAAAATGCATCTGAGGCTGTATCTCTGCAAAGCTTTGACGTATTTGCACCAAACTTTGTATGTGCCATTGTCACCTCACACTGACCACGCCACACCAATTTGGTAACAGCGCCATCGATTGGTCAAGAGTAATAAACCATTGATTTATTTTGATTGGCATTAGCCTATTGCAATGAAACTGGTCTCAAAATATTCCTTGACTTATGCCGACAACATACATACCAATTATGCCTTAGCAAATCCGAACTGCCTGTCGGCCATTTTGATTTATACTGTAAACCTACTTTTTCGAACTCCTCCTCAAGCTTTGGTCCGTTTTTCACCAAAATCGAGTCAAATCATCTTCAGACTGTGCTGACAAATGTTATGGATTTCGTGTCGATAGACGAAACCGTTTTCGTACAGCGCTGCTACAAATTTTAGGCATGGTGCCAAAATGACTCTAAGGCTATATTTCTTCAAAGCTTTGACATAATGAAAACAAACTTTGTGTGTGCCATTGTCACCTCACACAGAACACACCAAAATGATTTGATTACAGCGCCACCTGTTGGTCAAAAGTGATAAGCCATTTAATCATATTACTAGTGGTTGTATTTATGATTTTTCAGCCATTTCAATTACAATCATCCTAAAATTGCTTTTATTACTCATTGTTGCATTTGGTCTGATGCTCCATGCCATGCATAACTCCTCAATTTGCCTCTGGAGTGCTTGGCCCCGTAATTGCTGCTTGCAGCTATATTTGGTATTTTACTTTTATCAGTTATAAGATACAGGTTTCTATCCAGGCATAAATTTGTTAGTAGAGCAGCTGTGTTTAAGCTCATTTTAGAGTATGGTATATCTATCTGTCTGAGCCTGTTGGGTTAGGGTTAGGAATTTTTATCAAATTCAAGTCTCTGTTAAGTGTAAGGTTAAAGCCTGTTTATGTATACCAAACACATTTTCATTAAAAGAGTAAACATTTTTATTTCACATACAACTTTAATGTAATTTTCTATAAGAGCTGGAACTGCTGAAGTCTGATCCCATTACTGTTACAATGCAAATTATCAGACATAAGCGTTAACATTTGTTAATAATGTGTGAGATTAATCTACTTGAGCTAGATTATTCATTCAAAAAGAACAAAAATTTGCCTAAAAGGGTGAAGATTACACAAAAGCGCAATGATAACAGAGTACAACTTATTACATATAAAATAATATGGAGTTGCATTTTCAGAAAATTTGGCACTTCTAATTTGCAATTTGGCAAATCTAAATGTATATTTAGTATAGTTATGAAGTTACAGTTATGAAGAATAGCTATGAAGAGGATACTAATAATACAAAGTACTAATAAGTACTAATACAAGTGCTCAAGGGGGTTAAAAATTCTAGGAAAAACTACAAAAACAGTTCCTAGAATACCTTTAATGTGTTACAATTTGCCAAGGTCATTACAAATAACCATACAGGTCTCTTTTCCTTTTTTAATAGTTCCAGGCAAGTTCTGTTTTAAACAAGCTGTTGTATATGCTGACAAAAGGCTAAAGCTAGTGTGAAGTAAAAGCTTATTATTCAAGTCATGCATTATTTGGCCACAAAAAAAAAAGACCTTGAATGACAGTTGCAATAAATGTACATTTTCTTTATTCCAAAAAGATAACGATGCAGGTTCATAACAGTAGTATCTTTCAATAAAATATTTACACACACATTTAAAAAGTACATTAACATCCCTTCAGAGGTATTATGTATACCATCGGCAGACACCTGAAGCCACTAGCAGCTAACTGGATATTATTTCTAATTGCATGACAACACAATTCTCATCAGGAGCTGTGAATAACAAAATGATTCATGTTTGGCATTTGCCATCATCATATTTAGCTGGGCGAGTGTTAAGAGGGTGAGAGCTTGCTTTTTAATGAGAGGTACAGAACATCCAGTAACAGCCATGCCTATTCTGAATTACTAGTTAGGACTGATTTGGTTTTGTGTCAAAGAAAATGTATCTACAGGACAGCGAGATTTGAACTATGAACCTTGTTCCCATGTAAAGACAACAAATAGTCAAAATCAGACTGGCTTGTGAAAGAAACATGAGCCTCTACAATGCTGGTCCTTTGAACTTCTTTATTACTTATTTTGAGCCATGTGTAAGCGGAGGTTTGGAGTTGGGCCCGGTTAAATGCAAAACCTAATTAAACCCTGCCAAGAGTAACTGCTACTTTTGTCCACATACTGTACATAAACACACACTTTGTTTCTCCACTGAAGCTCTATCATATTTGAAAACAACCAACAGCACGGTAGCCTCATACGCAACATTTAACAACAGATATTTACCGTACAGGTTCTTCTGAAATGTATTCCTTCCTTCCATATAGCCAATCAACATTTTTCCAATATCCAAGTTATGCTATTAAAGTTATTTAAAGTGACGTAACATGTGGCCAAGTATGGTGACCCATACTCAGAATTAGTGCTCTGCATTTACCCATCCAAAGTGCACACACACAGCAGTGAACACACACCCGGAGCAGTGGGCAGCCATTTATGCTGCGGCGCCCGGGGAGCAGTTGGGGGTTCGGTGCCTTGCTCAAGGGCACCTCAGTCGTGGTATTGAAGGTGGGAGAGAGCACTGTACATTCACTACCCCCACCTACAATCCCTGCCAGTACGAGACTCGAACCCACAACCTTTGGGTTATGAGTCCGACTCTCTAACCATTAGGCCACGACTTCCCCTAGTTATAAAGTTATAAAATGCTTCCAATTCTATTATGCTTTTCATGGGTTGTCACTGTTGTACTAATGGACACTTTGGAAAATAACAGCAAATACAAACAAGGCAGCAAACGTGTAACTACATACACATGATTCATTTTGATTTTGCAGTTTGTCTCAGAACTCGCACAAGACGACTTGTTATCAAGGGCATACAAGATAATTTCTGGACTGAACAACTCAGACAACAAACATGCAAGTTATACCACAAACCTTAAAAAAAATCTAAATTAACTTATGCAAAAACTTTTGGGCAGGCCAATAAATAAGCAACTGGAGAACTGCAAATCAACAAAAATATATATATACAGATCAGTTGAAGAATACAAACACCTGGCAGTGTGCTGACATGTGGAACGCTTGTGCAGTTTAGCATATTAAGGCAATATTAGGGAAAAGTGAGGGAAAATACTGCTACATTGCTTGTTAAAATGAAAGAAACATGTCATTGTACTACACAACCATGTTCCACTAAACGAAAAAGGTTTCTTGTTCATACACACTGACATCTTGATGAAAACGAACTTGACACTAAGAAAAAAATTGATAAAGTTGTTATCTGAAATATGAATAATTAGTTCAAACCCATTAACTGTTTAACAATGAAGTTCCTGAAACAGTCCATGCACCAACTAGCCGACTAAGCGAAGTAATGAACCTGTTGCGTCTGTCATCCATAAAGTATAACTATGCTTTTCATAACCATTCCCATATAAGAACTAATTCGATGTAGAGCAGGTTGTTCCTAGTTCAGTGATACAGCATTGATACAAAATACACCAACCAGGAACAATGTTTTTACTGCTCAAACACTGAATGACCTGCACGTAAAACACACACATTCTAGTGTTTTCTAGCCACCCTCACGCACGTCACATGACTAGGAGCTCAAAGTCATTGGCATTATTACATGAAATGATTTACAGTTTTGTTGATACCATAGCTACAGACAATTACGCCAGCAGCAGTCCAAGCTCGGCTACGGTGTGCAATACTTTACACGATAAACGGTGAATGAGGAGGGCTACACTGTGACTGCACTATCCGAAAGAAAAATGGAATTCATTTGACCATATTGTGAGTGTTTCCCATTAAAAAAAAGAAAAGAAAACAAAAAGAGATGGAGTTGCTCAGTAAAGGCAAACTCCTGTGTGTAAGCTGAAATCAAAATAAAGGCCTTGGGGTTGGCGTTGTCCTTGTGGTAGGGCTCAACGCCAGGTGAACAGGTTGATGTTGTTGGTCGTGTCACTGTTCAAAGCTTCTGATGGAAACTCCAGCCCAGTGGCCCGTCACTCAACTCCCCAAGCACCAGGTGTGTCGTAACGGTGCTTGGGGGGCTCTCAGATCTTCTTGGGCCGGCGTCCCAGATGGTAGTAGTAGGTCAGCGTGACAGTGAGGAAGAATACGCGACTGAGGAGGAGGAGGATGGCAGCATTTGGTAGGGAGCCCAGCTCCACCAGAGTGACGGAGGTCACTGTAACATAGTGAAGCGAAGATATACATGATCCAAATATCAAAGAGTTTGGAGAAAACACATGGTAAATGTATCATAAATATCACAATGACTAATTACACTTACAGTACTGTTCAAAAGTTTGTAATGTTTTGAGCAATATATTTGTATAAAAACCCCTTAACCTGTTTTATTGCAACGTACCAGTGTTTTCGGCATTTTATATTACTCTATGCTCTTTTTTTCTATATCAGCTTAATAGTTTAATTAGAAATTAATATTACTTCTTCAAAATGTTTCAACCAAATGCATATGTGCAGCAAGCCATAGACAATGTATGTTACAATGTGCTTGTATGTACTTGAATTATGTACTTGTACTTATGTAATGTACTTTTTAAATTCGACTTCTGTTGTTCCGATTTTCTTTTGATATCTTGTTGATAATTTGTCTCTGATTTTATCTGTGATTTTTTTTTAATTGTTCTGCTTTAAAATTTATTTTATCTGATGCTGTAAAGCACATTGGTCAGCTGCTGCTGTTTTAATTGTGCTATATAAGTAAATTAAACTTGAAACTCAAGTGAATGAATCCATTGAGAAACCCCAACCACTAGAGGGCAGTAGCATCATGATAGTAAAGGGCCCATCTAGAGCTGACCAGACACAGCATGCATTAGACTAGTTCTTACTGAGACAAACCTAAAAACTGGATGGCAAAGTAGCAGGCCTCGCTAAGTAACGTCCATTGGATGATAACTTTCTCAGCAGTGTACAAGCCATTCCACAAGATCAGAGAGAGACCTGCCAAAAAGAAGGCAAATAAATGAGAAAGTGTTATATATATATATACTGTACACTATTATATTATTCAAAAGTTTGGGGTCAGTAAGATCTTGTTAACTTTTATCAGTAAGGGTGTATTAAATTGATCAAAAGTGACAGTAAAGACATTTATAATGTTACAAAAGCTTTCTATTTCAAATAAATGCTATTCTTTTGAACTTTCTATTCATCAAAGAATATTTTGATTTCCACATAAATACTAAGCAGCATGACTGTTTTCAACATTGATAATAAAAAGAACAATTTCTTAAGCAATCAGCATATTAGAATGATTTCTGAAGGATCATTTGACCCTGAAGACTGGAGGAATTGCTGCTGAAAATTCAGCTTTGCCATCAGGAATAAATTGCATTTTAAAATATATTAACATATAAAACTTTCTGATCATATAAATGCAGCCTTGGTAAGAATAACAGATTTATTAAAAAATCCTACTGACCCCAAACTTTTGAACGGTAGTGCAAGTAAACAAGAACAACTTGTGACAGCTGAACATTAAAACAAATCTCAAAAGTCACAACATTTATTGATATGCTTCAGTATACAAACTACCAGGATTATAGTTTGTATACTGAAGATAAATGACCCTTTAGAAGGTTTGAATTACTTTATTTTTCTTTATGAGGTGAGTTGAGATGATATTTTAGTTTAGTACAGTTTAGTTAGTTAAACCAATGAATAAATGCAGTGAATTTTAGAAATGGCAGATTAAGAGAGAGGAAATGTTGAGTAAGATGACACAAATGTTCCAGTGAACTAAACTTAATTAAAGGTAACTTATCACTGGGGGACTGAGACATAAAATGTTCACCCGGAGACACCAGAGAACAGCGGCTGACACATACTGACAGATTTAACAATTACCAGGAGAATTAAATGAGTATTATTAAAAATATGTCTCATCTATTTAATTTTTGAGGGCAAGATTTGAAAAGGGAGCAGGTAGAGAAGGGAATAATTGCACTACTAATTTGTGCAAATTTGTTGTCTGCAGTGGGCCAGAAAGAGTCAGATTTAATGTGCAATTAAATGAATGAACAGCGGAGAGCGTGCCGCCCCGCAGGGAATACTTCCTCCTCGCTTCTCTTCACAATCCACTGGCTGACTGGCCATTTACTCGCATAACAAATACACAAACACACATTCTAAGAGTGCCTCAATATATTCAGAGGAGTCTTTTTATGGCCCATCAATAGATGTGCTGACCACATGACAACCTCTAATTAAGAGTGTGAGAGATCATTAGGTTATTAAAAATACAGAATGAAATCAATATGACTTACTGAGAATGGCCCCTCCATAGAGACGTATAGAGACACTGGTGGCTGTTTGTTCTTGATCAAATACAACTTCATACAGCTGGCTAGGGAAGGCTAGGGCCTATAAATCACACATTTAAAATCAATTATTACTGTATAGACTCATTTAGGATATTAAAGATAGTAAGAGAGTACTGGTCCTGAGAACATATGGAGCTTAAAGTATTGAACCTTACCATAAGGGCCATGACTGTGAAAACCACAGCGGAGAAGAGGATCCATAACCTTGAGAAAGGGAAAAACATCAGAGTCAGCAGAGAAGACGACTAGCTTAGATGATGTATTTTCTATTCTAAAATGCCAAGGGAAGTTTAGCAACAATATACAGTACAGAAGGGTTCAAAAGCCTGAGAGGAAATATCTGGGATACATCTGGATCTGGGATTGCATTTAAACCTGGAAATAAACTTAAAGGGGTCATATGATGCGATTTCAATTTTTCCTTTCTCTCATAAAGAAGATCTGTAAAGTTGCAAAGACTAAAGTCTCTTTAAAGTACAACGAACAAGAAATATTTTAGATTCTGACCAATTTTAGATCACTAATCAAATAAGCAAATTTGTGACATTTATTTGACTCTTTACAGATGGTCAGATGTTGTTCTTCCATTGAAGCTCAAGATGGATCATCTCAAATCATGCTGGAGAATATGATCATCAGGTTTTACAAAGTGCTGCTCTCATTACAGCAAAAGAGAGACAAACCACATGTTCGTTTTCACTCCAATTGTTATGCTGATTATATACACTATCATTCTTCATTTTTTTGTAAAAAAAACAATTTATTCAGCAAGGATCCATTAAATTGATCAAAAGTTAGAGGCATTTAACCTATACAAAAAAATACATTTCAAATAAATACTGTTCTTTTGAACTTTCTATTCAGCAAAGAATCTTTAAAAAACAATAATCATAGTTTCCACAAAAATATTAAACAGCACAACTGTTTCCAGTAGTAGTAGTTGTAGTAGTATAGTTTTTAAAGCCATGTCAGCAACTGAGGCTATTTTCATGCCAAGAACTGAGTTACAATAAAAACAGTAAAGTAAAAACTAAAAAAAAAAGCACAGCAGTTACGATTATGGTTACATTTACATATGACAAAAATTCTAAAACGTTACTGGTAAAATCTTACTAAACAAGTCCTTAAGTGAGCTTATTGAATAAAAATGTTGAATACTTGTATTAAAAGCAGGACAGTCCAATAAAATGTTTCACAACTGTTTCCAACAATAAGAAGAAATATTTCTTGAGCACCAAATCAGTATATTAGAATGATTTCAGAAGGATGATGTGACACTGAAGACTGGAGTAATAGATGCTGAAAATATATTTAAATAGAAAACAGTTATTTTAATTTGTAATAATATTTCACAATATTACTGTTTTACTGAATTTTTAATCAGCAGCCTAGGTGAGCATAAGAGACTTCTTTCAAAAACTCACAAAAATATTACCTACCCCAAACCTTTGCACGGTAGTGTAATTTATCATTTAAAAATGTATTTTTGATGAGCATAAGAGACTTCTTTCAAAAACTCACAAAAATATTACCTATCCCAAACCTTTGCACGGTAGTGTAATTTATCATTTAAAAATGTATTTTTGATGAGCATAAGAGACTTCTTTCAAAAACTCACAAAAATATTACCTATCCCAAACCTTTGCACGGTAGTGTAATTTATCATTTAAAAATGTATTTAACAAGAAAAAATGCTTCAACAGTGGTTTTAGACTTTTGGACCCCACTGCATATATTCTAGAAATGTGTTATGTTCTTGAATGGTGCAAAATTCAAACAGATCTTGAGACTTCACAAGCGACTCGGCTAATGCACATAAATTAGAAGCTAATAATATCGCAGGAGATTCTTCTTACATAAATAATTTGCTTTAGTGTCCAGAGACAGACGCGTTATAATACACGTTACTTAAACAGCGGCTGGATTTGTACAATACTTAAGCTCAGGGTTCAGCTGGTTCATCTGTGGCCTGTCAAAATTACTGTGCTTTAATTAAAGGCCTGCTATTTTCTGTATTGGTGACAGGCAGACTGTAATAAATTAGGTTTATAAGAGCAAACTCCCCTAAGCACTGCAGCGTAGAGCGCGGCGGAACAGCACAGGGATGTGGTCTTACCTCAGTCCCATAGGCTCTCGAACTGCAAACTTGATCTCATTCCCCAGCATCTGACTGATCTGAGAGAGAAGAGTAGTGGAAGTGAGGAAGAAAGAAAGATGGGAAGAGAGAGCGCAAGACACAAGAGAGACAAACACTACACTCAGAATAATAAAAAATGGATATATCCTGCAAGAAGTGACAATTCTGACAGAAACCTCCATTCTGAATTGACTTCGGAGGAACAAGAACAACTATATCATTCTGAAGCATGATGAATTGATAGTGCATGGTGAGTTGTCCACAGTTGTGTGGTGCTAATCATTAATTTAAGTGAAGAAACCTGTTGTGAACGCTGACGTCTGGGGGCCACCGGTTGATAGGTGGATTAATAATCACACTATATTATACATGAAATCCAATTTGATAACAAATTAGCAAATGCAGCCACCCACATTGTGTGTCTGATGATTTCCACAGATTCACACATATTCAGGTTTATGGCTGTCATTCAATGCATCCACCTACTTCTTCATAGCTGTTAAACAAAGATGGCAACACTACAAGGAAATAAACGTGTTGGCAAACTCAATTGTTTAATCACATTTTTGGGAGGTGACACTGTTCTATCATTAGCAGCATATCACGGGTTTCCATATGGCTGCTTAAAACAGTTGAAAGATAGAAAAGAGCATTTATTGCTCCTAAAGGAGCATTTTGGTTTCTAAGGAAATCTATTACTTCAGAACCAAGAAACTAATTCACACCAGTAACTTGTCTTGTTAACTAGCCATTAAAATAACAAATTCATTAAAATCATTTGTTACAGGAATCACACTAGAACTTCATTGTAGTTCATTAACAAATGACTCCAATGAGTTACAGCATTACCAGTGTAATATGATTTAAACAACAAATAACTATTTTAATGAATAGTTAAAAAAGATGGGTCACTGGCTTGAAAGATTGTCCTGTATCATTTACAGCATTATGGTGCAGTAATATTAGTGAAATTGCAGCAAAATTTCACAAGCAAAAAAAAGTCCAGCTTCTACTGTCAATAGCATAGAGATGTATGAAGCACAAAGACATCACTTTCAAACCAAGCAGCTTTCTGTTTGTCAACATGGTGAACTCATGTGACCAACTTAAAAATGAGTGAAACCTGCATGGGCAGAGTTTTTCGTCCTCGCATGAAACTCCTAAATGTGAAGATTCCTATTGGAATGACAGGATTTTGCACACAAAATTTGCAGAGTAATAGAAAATGTTCTCTAAATTAAAAGTGGACATTCTCCAAGTTAAATGGACATTATAACTGAAATAATCAAAATGAATGAAAGCAGAATCGAATACAGTGCCTGTGAATCAGCACTGAATCTGGAAAATTAATACACAGTCCAAATGGCTATTTCTATCATCCAGTGAAAGTTTTGTTTAAAGTACACTATCGTTCAAAAGTTTGGAGTCTGTAAGGTTTATTAATGTTTTTGATAGATCTTTTATGCTCATCAAGGCTAGATTTATTTGATCAAAAATACAATAAAACTAGCAATATTGTGAAATCGTATTACTTCATCATTTATCATTTCAAATAACTTTTTTTACTGTAGTATTTTAAAAATGCGATTTATTCCTGTGATGGCAAAGCAGAATTTCAGCATCATTACTCCAGTCTTCAGTGTCACATGATCCTTCAGAAATCATTCTAATATACTTATTCAGCACTCAAGAAATATTATTATTATCAATTTTGAAAACAGTAAGTTGTTCAGCTTAATATTTTTCAGAATTCCTTGATTAATAGAAAGTTCAAAATATTTTTTAATAGTATAAACAAATTATAAATGACTTTATTGTCACTTTTGAGCAATTATGCCCTTACTGATTACAAGTATTGATTTCTTTACCAAAAAAAAAATACGAATTTATATATATATATATCGTACTGACCACAAACTTTTTGAATGATAGTGTATATTATCAGCAAAACAGTGAGTGAAAATGAACATGAATGTCAGAATGTCTTTTGTTTCTGGTTTTGTGGCCTGAATGTTAAAGGGGTCCTATTATGCTCTTTTACAAAGTCTTGATTTTGTTTTGGGGGTGTACTAG